CTGTCATCCAGATTGGAGTGCAGTGGCTGCTCCCGGACACTGCAGCCTTGACCTGCTGGGTTCCAGCAATTCTTCTGTCTCAGCCTTCCAAATAGCTGGAACTACAGGAACATGCTACCACGCCCGGCTAATTTTTGATTTATTGTAGAGATGAGGTCTCGCCAAGTTGCCTAGGCGGGTCTCGAACCTGCGGGCTCAGGCAATCCACTCACTTCAGCCTCCCAAAGCATTGGGATTACAGGCTGAGCCACCAAGCCCGGCTTTTTTTTTTTTTTTTTTTTGAGTTGGAGCCTCTCACTTTGTCGCCCAGGCTAGAGTGCCACGCTCACAGCCACCACAGCCTCGACCTGCTGGACTCAGGTGATCCTTCCACCTCCACCTTCCAAGTAGCTGGAACTATGAGTGTGCAGCATCATGCCCAGATTATTTTTTGATTTATTGTAGAGATGAGGCCTTGCCAAATTGCCTGGGCTGGTCTCTAACCCAGGGGTTCAGGCAATCCTCTTGCCTCTGCCTCCCAAAGTGCTGGTATTATAGGTGTAAGCCACTGCACCAGGCCTTTTGGTTTGTTTTTTAGTTAGGGATCTCACGTTGCCCAAGCTGGAGTGCAGTGGCACAAACCATGGCTCACTGCAACTCTGACTGCTTGGGCTCAGGTAATCCTTCTGCCTCAGTCTCCCAAGTAGCTGGGACTGCAGGTGTGCGTCACCATACCTGGTTCATTTTTTAATTTTTTCTGGAGACAAGGTCTTGCTATCTTGTCTAGGCTGGTCTCAAATTCCTAGGCTCAAATGTCCTCTCATCTCTGCCTTCCAAAGTGCTGGGACTACAGGTGTGAGTCACTGCACCTGGCCTGCAATTTTTTATTAAGTGCTTATTTTGTATCAGGTACTTTACACTTGTTAGGTCTAACTCTTTACAACAATATAGATAAAGACACTGAGGATCAAAGAAGTGAAGCATTTGCCCAAACTCATACAACCAGTAAGTGGTAGAGGTAGGATTCAAGTTCAGCTTTTCCCATTAAAACACATTGTCAACGGGCGCGGTAGCTCATGCCTGTAACTCCAACACTTTGAGAGGCTGAGGCAAGAGGACTGCCTGAGCCCAGGGGTTCAAGACCAGCCTGGGCAACTTGGCCTGACTTCGTCTCTACAATAAATTAAAAAAAAAATTCAGTCGGGCATGGTGACATGCACCTAGTTCCAGTACTTGGAAGGCTGAGGTGAAGGATCACCTGAGCCCAGAAGATTGAGGCTGCAGTGGCCATGAGCATGCCACTGCACTCCAGCCTGGGTGACAGAGTGAGACTCTAACTAAAAACAAACAAAAACATATTGTTTCTCTATATCTCCTGTATATCCTTTAGCATTTATTGAATACTTACAATGTACCAGGCATTACTCTAACTTCTTCATACAGATTATTTCATTTAATCCTCACAAGAATTCTCTGAGATAGGTACCATTATTATCTCCATTTTACATGTGAAGAAATCAAGGCATAGAAAGGAAAACTGTCCTACCAGAGGTGTCATGGCCAGAGAGTAGAAAAGCCAGGATTCACACAAAGGCTGCTCAGCTTTGGACTATGCTCTTAAGTCCTACATAACAGACTTCCCCCTCTTACCCCTGTCGATTCCCTCTCCAATTGCCTTCTGATAGAATCTTTAGAAAGCTGAAATAGTTCAAAACTTTACATGTCTAGAAGGATACATGTCAAACTGTATTTTTAGTTTTAATTGACACATAACAATTATACATATCTATGGGGTAAAGTTATTTTAATTTTTTTAACAAAAAGTACACATTTTAAAAAGATTAACAAATTCTATTTGTCTTTATCTGAGTAGGGATCTCACTCTGTTACCCAAGCTGGAGTGCAGTGGCATGATCACTGCTCATCGAAGTCTCTAATTCCTGGGCTCAAGTGATCTTCCTGCATCAGCCTTCTGAGTAGCTGGGACTACAGGCACACACAACCACACAGCTAAATTTTTAATTTTTTGTAGAGACAAGGCCTAGCTATGTTGCCCAGGCTGGTCTTGAACATCTGGGCTCAAGCAATCCTTCCACCTTCGCCTCCCAAAGTGCTGGGATTACAAGTGAGAACCAACATGCCTAGCCACATTCTATTTTTTAAAAGGTGAAATCCTATTAGAAAGTATTGCCCTATTGTGGCAACTTCCAGGGCCTCTAATATGAACCTAAGAAGGTTAGTAAAGATCAATTGATATTGACTCTTTGGAAACAGAACATTAGCTGAATGAAACTACAGGAAAAAAAGCATCCCTGCAGACATGCTTTGCAAGGAGTACCCTAGAGGCAGAATATCAAAATGGCTAAAATCAGAGACTTAGGAATCAGACTGAGCTATGTTTGACTCCTGTTTTTAGCACTTATTAGCCAAGTGATTTTGGTAAGTTACTTTAACTCTCTAAGCCTCAATTACCTAATCTGTAAATTGGCAGCAACATCTGAATCATAAGATTATGAAGTAAATTAGAGTATCTGATCTAAGTGTTTCTACCTAGCCTATTATTATTATTATTATTATTATTATTATTATTTTGAGTTGGAGTCTTGCTCCATCACCCAGGCTGGAGTGCAGTGGCACACTCACGACCACCCCAACAATGACATGTTGGGCTCTGGTGATCCTTCCACCTCAGCCTTCCAAGTAGCTGGAACTTCAGGCGGGCGTTACCACGCCCGGCTAATTTTTGATTTATTGTAGAGATGAGGACGAGGTCTCACCAAGTTGCTGGTCTCAACCCCACGGGCGCAGGCAATCCATTCACCTCTGCCTCCCAAAATGCTGGGATTACAGGCTGAGTCACTGATCCCAGCCCTCAACCCATTATTAACAGCAGTAATAGATCACAAAAATAAAAAAAGTTTGCAGTTCCATTTTAAACTATAAGTTTCTCAGAAGAGGTGTCTCTTTTTTTTAAAAGATACTTTGTTTTCTTCTGGCAGGTTTTCAGGGTCAAATTTCCAATATTCTTTTGTTTCTCTCTCTCTGATTCCCAAAATTAATTATGGCTATAGTTTTTAAATATTTGTTCTCTACGTCTTCATTCACCCATTCCTTGATTTATTCACCCAACGAACATTTTTTAAGTGCCTAATTTTGTTGAAGCCCCTCCAAAATAATAATGTGTCTAATTTATGCAACATACCGGCAAAACGAAGAGTTTAAAAATTAATTATACAAAGACCCTGCCTTAAAGTCTTAAAGAAGCCCAGAGTTCTTCAGCAAATAAAAAGACAAGTCACAGAGATGAATATGAATCTCAGAAACACAAGGAATGACATGTTAGTATAGGTCTTCTCGTGCCATAGACACTGTAGAGGAAAAGATTATGATGTTAATATAAATGCTATAAGAGGACGTATAAACTGCCGGAGAATATCCCCTGAAGAGTGTGTCTAAAACTAGCTAAGACTGATCTAGGGAGGACTGCATATTCAGTGATTCTTGTCCTGGGGAAAGCACGCACACCCAGTTTCCAGACCGGAGGGCTAACTACACGAGTCGAAATTCATCAGCCGGCTTTGCCACCCGCCGCCGCTAGATGCCGCAACAGACGCATTTAAGAAACCAAAGACAAACGGGCGACTTGGTCGCCTAGAGAGGCTCGAGAGCGTCCCTGGATCTTCTTCCTGCGCGTAGAGGTCCTTCGCGGCAAGAGGCGGAACGTGCGAGTGAGTGGAAGTGGTCTCACGAGAGTGAAGGCAAATCTCGCGATTTTTTTTTTTTTTTTTTTTTTTTTTTGCCTAGCGACTGACAACAAGACAGTTGCGCCCGGTGGAATCCCTGAAGTGGCCTGGCCTGACTTTGGAGTGAGACCTCAGCCCTAGGCTGGGGTTCTTTCCATTTAGAGGAGACGGATTCAGAGGGGCTACAGGTAATTCGTACTCACCCCAGCAAAAAGGGATCCGCCTCCCTCCCTCCCAAGAGGAATTTAGGAGGCTGCCCCTTCCCCCGTTCCGTTCCCTTTTCCCATCTCCGTGGTAACCGCCCCTGCGTCCTTGCCCCAACCACCACCCACCCAACCGTTCTGCTTCCATCATTCCTCAAGAAGCTTAAGTGGGAACCGATCTACAGAACGGGGGTGGAGATGGGGTGATGGTTTCGGGATTATTGGGTGGGACCACGAGACTGGAATTTACCCTCTTTTCGGGGACTTCCCCCACCCCGGAGGTAGCCCCAGGACAGGACTTTTTCGAGACTTCACCTCTTGACCTGGGCCCAGGAAACCTTCAGAAACGTTTGGGTGGGGGCGAAGGTTTCATGTCATCAAACCGGTGTCTTGGGTGAGGAAGAGGAGCCGATGCTGTTTTGGACGTAGCTCCCGGCAGAGTGCTTGATGCCCGGTGACAGGAGCTGGTAATCATGTCTCCTTCTGTTTAGACCAAGATTGTTGAAAACCAGACGTATGATGAGCGGCTAGAGATTGATGACCCTGAAGAGGTTGCATGTATTTATACTCCAACCCCAAGACGTCCAGGTAGGAACGAAGATGAAAGAAGAGGGCTGGATCTCAGAGGATTCATGGATTTCTTCAACAAGTACCTATTTTATAGAAGCAAATGCTGCCTTTCAGAGTCAATTTATGTCACTTGCCATTGTTTGTTCTCTAGTTAGTTATGGGGGGCGGGGATCACAGCCTCCCAGATTGCAGGATCTTTCCCAATCAACCCTGTCTCCATTTACTTCGTATTTGCTCACAGTCTACCCGGTGTTCCAAACATGTTTTTCTCAGTTTTGAAGACGCTTCATAACCTGCCTGTAACTTGCAACCCCAACAGAATGTCAATGGATTATTTTTAGAGGGCTGGATACCATTTATTTATTCAACAAACTTTTTGTGTCGTGTTGGAGTCTCACTCTGTCACCCAGGCTCGAGTGCAGTGGCACGTTCACGGCCACCTCAGCCTCCACCTGCCAGGCTCAGGCAATCCTTCCACCTCAGCCTTTCAAGTAGCTAGAACCACAGGCATGTGCCACCACTCCCAGATAATGTTTTAATTTATTGTAGAAGATGAGGGTTCACCATGTTGTTCAGGCTGCTCTCGAACCTCTGAGCTCAGGCAATCTTCTCGCCTCCACCTCCCAAAGTGTTGAGATTACAGGCGTGAGCCACTGCTCCCGGCAGTCGACAAACATTTTTAAATGCCTACTGTGTGTCAGCTTTATGCCTGACACTGGGTATATAGTATCAAATGATACAATGTCCCCACCATTCTGATGCTTGCAATCATGGGAGACAGGTGACAAATCAACAAACTAACATAATTACAAATGTGGTAAGGTAAGTGCATTGATAGAGGCAAATTGTTTGCTGTGTGGGGGAAGGAAACCTAATTTTCTTTTCTTTTTTTTTTTTTTTGAGTTGGAGTCTGTCTCTGTGGCCCAGGTTGGAGTGCTGTGGCACACTCACAGCCACCCCAGCGTCAACCCACTGGGCTCTGGCGATCCTTCCGCCTCAGCCTTTCAAGTAGCCAGAACTGCAGGCGCATGCTACCATGCCCAGCTAATTTTTGATTTGTTGTAGAGACGAGGTCTCACCAAGTTGCCCAGGCTAGTCATGAACCCGTGGGCTCAGGCAATCCACTCGCCTCAGCCTCCCAAAGTGCTGGGATTACAGGCTGAGCCACCAAGCCCAGCCAGGGACCTACTTTTCATAGGGTGATCAGGAAAGACCTAAGGAGGTGACAAGTGAGACTAAAAGATGAGAAGGATCCAATGTATGGTAGAGGACTAGTATATGGTCAGATCAGAGAGGGAGGCAGAGTGTCACAAGCTGAGCTTTGGAGGCTGCATTGCTCTCACATGTGGAATGGGTTGAAAGGCTCAAAGTTGAATGTGAGGACAGTTGGAGGGAGTGTTGCAGTGGCTGAGTGGAGATGGCAGTAGCTTGGACTCTGGTGAGGAGTTGAGAAGAGAGAAAAGAGGAAATACAGTGCAAGATATATTGTTGTAGAATCGATGAGACTTGCAGATGATTGATTTGCCTCTTGAGTTAGGAATCAAGGATGACACCCAGGGTTTTTGTTTGTTGTGATGCAAAAATATAAATATAACCATTTAAAAATGTACAATTAAGTGGTATCAATAACATTTACAATGTTGTGTAACTATCTTCACTACCTATTTCCAGAACTTTTTCACCATCCCAAACAGAAATTCTGTACCCTGTAACCAATGACTCCCAACTCCTCGCTCCCCCCAGTCCCAGGTTCCCACTGTTCTACTTCGTCACTAAGTGAAATCGTACTATGTTGGTCCTTTTGCTGCTGACTTGTTTCCCTTAGCATAATGTTTTCAAGGTTCAGCCATGTTGTAGCATGTGTTGAATTTCCTTTTTAACTCCATTGCATGTATATACCACATTTTGTTTATTCATGTATCTATTAATGGTCACTTGGGTTGTTTCCGCCTTTGGGTATTATGAGTAATGCTGCTGTGAACAGAGGAATGCAAGTGTCTGTTTGAGTCCTTATTTTCGATTCTTTGGGGTATATACCTAGCAACCTAGGTTTTTGACTTGAGTATGTATATACTCTTGCCAGCTGCAAACATTATAATTTGTTTTCAGTATGGGCTAATTTTGTAAGCCAAAAATTGGTGTTTAATTTGCATGTATTTGATTTAGAAATCATTTAGTGTGTTTTCATGCCAGTTAATACCTTATGGGGGACCCCCCAAAAGCACAATTTATTTATTAAAAATTGTATATTTATTCCTACATGTTTAAATTTCAGTCACCTTGAAAGTACTCTCTGTTTGATGTAATACACCTATCAAGATGCTTTTTCCACTGCTCAGTTTTTGAACTCATCAATTTTGATGCCTTTTAATGCTTCTGCCATTTTTTGTTTCATCACTTTTTCCACATCAGCAAAACATTTCCCTTTGAGGATGTTTTTCATCCAGGAAAAAAAAAAATGTCACTTAGGGCAAGATTTTCTTAGTTCCCAACCTCATTTTACTAGTGTATAAACTAAGGGCGAAGTTTATTTATGTAATGGCAGATAATTGATTAGTATAATATCTGGCCCAATACCTTAAGCACAGTAAAGTTTAGTAAATATATCTTGAATTAAATTGACAGTCATGACTAGAATTCAGTCTCCTGTCTTTTAGCTAGATATTCTGATGAACCCTGTTCCATAAAATGGCTGGAGCATTAACTATCATAAATGAATAATAGTTACCATAAAAATCATTTAACAATAACCTAAAGAGCAAACTTTTCTTCTAAGGACCTCCTCGTTCTGCCTGTCTTCCTCACAAGACTATGGCTGATAACAGCAGTGATGAATTTGAAGAGGAACATAACAAGGTGCAGTAAAACCTACAGTTTCTTGTAGAATTTCTGCTTTAGGTTTTTGATAGTTAGAAATGACACCAGGACAACCCCTCAGGTCCCCTCCCAGTGTGGGAGCTTTTTTTTGTCCTCTCAATAAATCCTACTTAAAAAAAAGAAATGACACCAGTAAACATTTCTTGACACTTACTTCTAGTAGTTGGGTACTTTTGAGCTCATGGAGGAAACTCTTTGGAAATAAAGTGTACTGTTATGGCTGACTTTTTGATAAGGGGTTTCATCAAATATAGGCCAGTGTTTCACAAACTTTACTGATCTTAAGAATCAACTAGGGCACATATTTTTCTGTTTCTTTCTTTCTTTCTTTCTTTTTTTGATTTGGGGCCTCACTCTATTGCCTAGGCTGGAGTGCAGTGACATGATCAAGGCTACCTCAGCCTTGACCTGCTGGCTCAGGCGATCCACCTCAGCCTCCCAAGTAACTGGGACTATAAGTACACTCTACCACGCCTGGCTAATTTTTTTATTTATTGTATAGATGAGGTCTCACCATGTTGCCCAGGCTGGTCTTGAACTCCTGGGCTCAGGCAACATTCTTGGGTTACATTTTTTAAAATGCAGAGTCCCAGTCCCCACCCAGAATCTTGAAGGTGGAAGTCTGGGAATTTATATTTTTAGGAAGCAGTCCAAATAATTCTTAAGATAAAGCAGGTTTGGGATTATTGGTCTAGGCATTTTTTATTGTCAACACTTGTAATACTGCCAGTATTTTGTGAAAGAAATTTTAATTTTGACATCTCAAGACCCAGGTGTCCCTTTCCTATTATTCTGTGAACCTAGAGAATCACTCTGTTTCTCTAAGAAGGATAGCAAGATGCTTACACCTTTAGCCAGGTAAGACCTTAGAATTGTACATGTGCTCTCTTCACAGCCATTTGTGTTCAGTGTTAGCACATGATGCAGTCTTGTTTTTTTTTTTTTCTGAGTTGAAGTCTCACTCTGTCACCCAGGCTGGAGTGCAGAGGCACGCTCACGGCCACCCCACCATCGACCTGCTGGGCTCAGGTGATCCTTTCGCCTCAATCTTCCAAGTAGCCAGAACTACAGACGTGTGCTACTGTGCCTGGCAAATTTTTCATTTATTGTAGAAATGAAGTCTCACCAAGCTGCCCAGGCTATTCTTGAACCCTTGGAGCCTGGCTAATTTTTTCATTTATTGAAGAGATGAGGTCTCACCAAGCTGCCCAGGCTGTCCTTGAACCCGTGGGTTTAGGCAGACCTCTCACCTCAGCCTCCCAAAGGGCTGGGATTACAGGCTTGAGCCATCGTGCCTGGCTTTTTTTTTTAAATTGGAGTCTTACTCTGTCACCCAGACTGGAGTGCAGTGGCACACTTCCAGCCACCGCAGCCTTGACCTGCTGGGCTCAGGTGATCCTTCCACCTCAGCCTTCCAAGTAGCCGGAACTACAGGCACGCGCTACCACGCCTGGCTAATTTTTTTTTTTTTATTGTAGAGACATGGTCTCGCCAAGTTGCCCGGGTGGGTCTCAAACCCACGGGTTGAGGTAATCCACTCGCCTCGGCCTCCCAAAGTGCTGGGATTACAGGCTGAGCCACCAAGCCCAGCCTTTTTTTTTTAAATGAGTCAGAGTCTTACTCTGTCACCCAGGCTGAAGTGGAGTATAGTGGCACGATCACAGCCACCGCAGTCTCGACCCACTGGGTTCAGGCAGACTTCAGCCTTCTATATAGCTAGGACTATAGGCACATGCCACCATACTCGGCTTTTTTATTTATTTTTTATAGAGATGCAGTCTCGCCATGTTGCCCAGGCTGGTCTCAATTTCCTGAGCTCAGGTAGTCCTCTCACCTGGGACTCCTAAAATGCTGGGATTATAGGCATGAGCTATTGTGCCTAGCCCAACGGTTATATTTTAATGGTCCTTTGAGAACGGGAGCTTTGAAAACTCAGGGAAAGAATATTTGAAGTAATATAGAAAGCTGTGGTGATATAGACTGATTTCATAGAAAGCCTAAAAGATAACATTTTAAAGTGGTCCCACTCCATGATTTGTGTTCTAACATCTTGTACCGAAGGTAATTTCTTAGGCATTTGTCTGTGGCTTATGAAGTCCTCTGCTTTTATGTTTTCTATATCCACTGTAAATTCTTGTAGTCTTTATGGTGTGGTCAGTATCCAAGGTTCATTTGTCTTTCCAGTTTAGTATGCACCCAGAATCAGCAGAAAGGATCTACTTCTGAATAATCTTTTTTTTTTTTTTTTTTTTGAGTCAGAGTCTTACTCTGTTGCCCCGGCTGGAGTGCAGTGGCTCAATTATGGCACAAACTGCTGGGCTCAAGCAATCCTCCCAAGCTTCCAGGGCTACAGGTATGCACTACCACACCCAGCTACTTTTAAAAATGTTTTTGTAAAGACAGGGTCTTGCTGTGTTGCCCAGGCTGGTCTGGAACTCCTGGCCTCAGGCAATCCTTCTGCCTTGGCCTCCTAGAGTGCTGGGATTACAGGCATGATCTACTGGGCCTGGCCAACAATCAATATTCTTAGAAGTTTCCTTTGCTAGAATAACTTCTCATTTGACTAAGAATAATTTTGGCAAATCTTGAATTAAGAAAGAATACTCTAGAAGTATCTTATCAATTATATACCAATAAGGCATAGTCACTGAATAAATTCTGCAACTGTTTTTTTATTATGTCATGTATATTATAGATTAGTTAGTGTATATTTTTATTTGTAAATAATAAATCTTTTATTCTTAGGGGAAAATATGACCAAAAACAGTTTTTTTAAACATATTTTTAAAACCAGAACATTTATTGCATGACTAATTGTTGAAATTCTTAAGATGAACTGGATGCTGCAACCGCTGCCTTCGGGTTTAAGTGTCGTTCCTTCATGGAATCCATGCCTGAATCTGTGGTATACAATTTTTAGCTGCCTCTTTTGACTAGTCTTAGTGGTATTTCATCTTTTCACCTTGGTATTCTAGTTATACCTTCTCTTGTGCTTGGCAAGGTAGCCACGTTTGCCACAGGTCAACTTCTGAAGGTGGTAGGCTTTAGAGCCACAGTGGTGGCATAGTGTGTGTGTCTTCTTGCGACACTTTCCAAACGATGATGTTCCCTTTGTCATCTTGCTTTTGCGGCCGAGACTAGGAGCCAAAAGCAGTTTTTGATGTGCTGTAACATGTCACAATTTTGTGTGCCAGTAGCTGCTTTACCATAAAAGAAACATTAAGTAAAAAAAAAAAAAAAAAAAAAAAAAAAAAAGGCTGGACTCAGTGGCTCAGCCTGTAATCCCAGCACTTTGGGAGGCCGAGGCGGGTGAATTTCCTGGGCCCGCGGATTCAAGACCAGCCTGGGCAATTTAGCAAGACCTCGTCTCTACAATAAATAAAAAAAATTTATCTGGGCGTGGTAGCACTCACCTATAGTGCTGGCTATTTGGAAGTCTGAGGCAGAAGGATTTCCAGAGCTCAGCATGTTCGCACTGGGGGTGTCTGTGACCGTGCCACTGTACTCCAGCCTGGGTGACAGAGTGAAACTCTAACTCAAGAAAAAAAAAAAAAAAAGGAAGAAGAAGAAGAAAGAAGCATTAAGTAATTTTTATTTAGTTTTTTTTTTAGATTAGACAATAGAGTTTATTTAGAAAGTAAATTGGAGAGAGAGAGGAGATTCATCTCCCCAAGGTAGAAGAGGGGGCCAAAGCCAGGAAACATGATGACAGCCATAGCTCAGAGAGCACATGGCCATACCACAGTCTAGTAAGGCAATGGCCAAGTAATTTTTAAATACTGGAACTAAACATTAAGCCATATGGCATATGGAAATCAAACTTTCACAGCCCACTTTTAAAGGGGGCCAATTGGTCATCCTTCAGGTGCTAAGGGAAGGCATGCCACAGGCTCCGGGCCACAGAGACAAAGACCTGGACCCCATCCCACCTGCCCCTGCAAGTCTCAGCCACCACCAGATCCCTTGTCATGGATTTGAGAGGGTGGGATGGTACCTAGAGAGCCAGAAGCTCAGAAAGGTAGGTTGTAATGCCCAGAACAACAGAGCCGCTAGTCTCGAGCTGGAATGTATATTCATTGCATTTAACGCTTACAGGAAGGGAGGGGAGATACAAGTAGGTCAGATAACCCATCAAGAGAAACATCAGTGAAGGAAAATAGAAAGGCTGTCATTTCTGGAACTGCTGGTCAGAATTCAGGCATTGGGTTGACTATGAACTTTCTTCTTTTGATAGTTTCCAGCAGCTTACTCTGAGCAGTCTTGCAAATTAAATACTAGATTTCCTTCCTATGATCTTTGTGAGTATAAAGAAAGTTTCATTTCTCTTCCTCACTTCATCTTCCTGCATTTTCTCCCAAAATATTTAGAATTGTCATCCTCTTCTTCAGAAGTCCCTAGGTTTTAGGACTGAAGACACTTGAATAAAGTTTATGCAGAGATCTCAGATTCCTAAGTAATAGATATAAAGTGGTTAGAATTTATACCCCAGGCTCCAGCAGAGACATGGAATATGGTTATAGAAGGTGGGGACCCCATACGTAGTCGAGCAGGAGCAGCTCTCTTAAGCCCCTTCTGAGAAGTGCCACCTTCTTTCTCTGGTGACTAGGTGCCAGGTGTGGGGGCTGTTGGTTGGAGCAATAGAGAACCAGGCAAAGCCACATTAAATTTTTCTTTATGTGAATCTTTCTATGCCTCCCCTGCCCTGTCTCAGGAGAAGAAGAAACCCTCGCAGTTGACACCTCAGTGGGGCTTTAGTGAAAATGATGACGATGATGACGACGATGATGACTCATCTGAGACTGATTCTGATGAGGATGATGATGATGAGCATGGATCCCCGCTGCAAGGGTGAGGAAAGACCCCTTGCCAAGCATGTCCAAATCAAGGGGGAAATACCTCCTTTAAAACACAGGACTTTCGTGACCCGCCTGGGCAGCGAGACCTCATCTCTACAATAAATCAAAAAATCAGCCGGGCGTGGTAGCGCGTGCCTGTAATTCCGGCTACTCAGAGGGCTGAGGCGGAAGGATCGCCGGAGCCCAGCGGGTCGAGGCTGCGGTGGCCGGGAGCGGCCACTGTACTCCAGTCTGGGCGGCAGAGTGAGACTCCAACTCAAAAAAAAAAACAACAAAACAAAACACAGGACTAATGCCAGGCGTGGTGGCTCATGCCTGTAATCTCAGCACTTTGGGAGGCCGATGTGAGAGGATTGCCTGAGCTCACAGGTTTGAGACCAGCCTAGGCAACATGGCAAGATCTCATCTCTACAATAAATCGAAACATTAGCTGGGTGTGGTGGCACGTGCCTTTAGTTCCAGCTACTTGGAAGGCTGAGGCGGAAGGATCACCTGAGCCCAGCAGGTCAAAGCTTGTGGTGGCTGTGAGTGTTCCATTGCACTCCAGCCTGGACTACAGAGTGAGACTCCAACTCAAAAAAACAAAAACAAAAACAAAAACACGGGACTGGGAGGATGTCAGTAAGAAGTGAAATTCTAGCAACTCTTTTGATTTCCTCTGTCAGGATTTTCGGATGTCTCAGAAACCCAACCTAATGAGTTTTCATTACTTTCTGGCTCTATGGCCTCATCCAGTCCTGTAACATCACTTGTGCTATCAGAAATGTTTTTTGGCTCAGAAACAGTATACATGCACACAAGCGTTTCTATTTTGGGCTCAGATCCTTTTTGGCCAGGTAGGGAAGATGTTCTTCAGGAGCCCACATTGAGGCAGAATGTTCCTGGATGATGCTTAAAAAGTCTCCACATCCTGTCCAGCACTGGTCCTGCATTAATCATGACCAACTCCTATAGGTTTTTATCAAAATGGATTCTGAGACCTGCCTGCTTACAATAGCATTCCTGGTTAAATAAATGACAGCATTACCAATCTGCAGAATTCTATCTATTCATTGAAAAGTAGGAGGCAGCTCTCTCTGCGCTGATAAAGAGCTGTCTTCAAGAGATATGGTTAAACTGAAGAAAGGTGATTGTCAATTTCCTAATTTAAAAAAAACTGAAAAAGGCACAGAAGAGTGTTTATGCTGTGCTACCATGTGTATGAAACACATATTACACAGACTGCCTCTGGAAGGACATACTAGCAACTAGTAATAATAGTGAAATCACCTTTGGGAAAGGAACTTGGTGGCAAGGACACAGGAGTGGGACACTTTTCACTGTATATGTTTATTAACTTATTTTATATCATGAGCATGCATCATTTATTAAAGTAGCTTACTAAAAATAAAAAGTAGGTATCTTTGGTTTATCCACCTGCTGTAAATCAATGAAACAAATGTCTAATCCCAGCCTGATCTCCCATGCTTCTCATTCTATTTCATGATCATATCCTATTTCTGTTAATTATGACCTGGGGAAATATAAATTTTAAGTCACTAATATATTTCAGTTTTTCTGTTAAACAAGTCCTCCCAGAAGAACCTAATTAATAACCTTCCAACTCACTTCTGTACTTTGCCAATGTTCATTACAGTTTACTTAATTGTAATTAATGTTATGTGTTGTACTTTTTTTGCTATATACATTTTCATCTATCAGTACAAGTACTTTGTGTGTGTGTGTGTGTGTGTGTGTGTGTGTGTGTATTGGAGTCTCACTGTGTCACCCAGACTGGAGTGCAGTGGCACACTCCCGGCCACTGCAGCCTTGACGTGCTGGGCTCCGGGGATCCCTCTGCCTCAGCATTCCAAGTAACTGGAACTACAGGCGTGCACTACCACCCCCGGCTAATTTTTGATTTATTGTAGAGATGAGATCTCGCCAAGTAGCCCAGGCGGGTCTCGAACCCGCGGGCTCAAGCAATCCACTCACCTTGGCCTCCCAAAGTGCTGGGATCACAGGCTGAGCCACCGAGCCTGGCACAAGTACTTTTTAATAACTATGCAATGTACAATTTAACATGCCTAATTATCTCCCAAATGTTGGATATTTTATTTGTCTTCAATGTATTATTTTTATAAATAACACTATCAAAAGCATATCTTTTTTGCCAGGTGCGGTGGCTCACGCCTGTAATCCCAGCATTCTGGGATGCAGAGGTGAGAGAATTGCCTGAGCCCAGGGGTTCAAGACCAGCCCGGGCAACTTGGCAAGACCTCATCTCTACAATAAATCAAAAAAATTAGCCAGGGCTTCAAGACCAGCCCCGGCAACTTGGCAAGAACTCATCTCTACAATAAATCAAAAAAATTAGCCAGGCATGGTGGCACATGCCTGTGGTTCCAGCTCCTTGGAAGGTTAAGGCAGAAGGATCGCCTGAGCCCAGTGGGCTGAGGCTGTGGTGACCAAGAGTGTGGCACTACACTCTAGCCTGGGTGACAGAGTAAGACTCCAACTAAAAAAAAAAGTCTTTTTTTTCTTGCTGCAAACTATTTTTATGCCAAAGTAAAATCTCTTGGTCATCTTTTCTCATCATCCCTTTCATTAAAAAAAAGAAAAGAAAAGAAAACCATTTATGTTACATTTTAACATTAAAGGAATTATGTTCTGGATTTTCTGCAGCTCTGTCCTCAGGACTCAGAGATAATTGAGTAATTATAATAATTATTATAAAAATATTTATAACAATAATTATAATAAACTTTCCAGCTAATTTTAAAAAATTAGCTGGGCGTAGTGGTGCGTACCTGTGTTTCCAGCTACTTGGAAGGCTGAGGTTGTAGGATCACCTAAGCCCAGCAGGTCAAGGCTGTGGGGGCCATGAGCGTGCCACTGCACTCCAGCCTGGGTGACAGAGTTAGACTCCAACTCAAAAAATATTTATATATAATAAACTTTAAAGTTACCTTGCAGCCATGCTTTCAAGCTCTGGCCCTACTATGCTTTTTGTGAATTCTAGCCAGGCTGTGCTTTTCCCTAAGCTTTGGCCCGTCTCTAACCTTGGGGAGGTGAATCAATCTCTCTCTCTCTCTCTCTCTAATCTACTTCCTAAATAAACTATTTTTCCTAATCTAACAAAAAAATAAAATTACCTTGCATGCCACCAGTAAAGGCAGATGTAGGCTGGTGGAAGCTAGGTTCAGGGTCATGTCCCTGTGGCCATGGGCTGACCCGGGATTCTGTCACCTCTGCTCTTCTCTGGTCACCTTTTCTTTTCTTTTCTTTTGTTTTTTTGACTTGAGGTCTCAATCTGTCACCCATGTTGGAATGCAGTGGCATGGATCACGGTTCACTGCAGTCTCGACCTCCTGAGCTCTGATGTGCCTTCTGCCTCAGCCTCCTGAGTAGCTGAGACTCCAAGTACTCACCACCACGTCTGGCTAATTCTTTTTATTCTTTGTAGAGATGAGGTCTCACTATGTTGCCCAGGCTGGTCTCAAACTCCTGGGCTCAAGCAGTCTTCTTGCCTCAACCTCCCAAAGTGCTGGATTACAAGTGTGAGCCACCCCACCTGGCCTTCTGTGGCCACCTTGAACAGACTGTATTTTCCTTTCCCCAGAGCCTATGATCCTGCAGATTATGAGCATTTGCCAGTTTCTGCTGAGATTAAGGAACTCTTCCAGTACATCAGTAGGTGAGTAGTAGGACCTCCCACCATGCTCCACCATCGCTACCTTGCCCTAAACCTTTCCTAACTCTAGTCTGAAATAGGGCCATTCTCCTTAGATTTTTTTTTTAACCTGAATAGTAAACTTTCTCTGACTGTCTCTACCTTCTTTTGGTGACCTCTCTTAGGTACACACCTCAGATGATTGACCTGGACCACAAACTGAAGCCTTTTATTCCTGACTTCATCCCAGCTGTTGGAGATATTGATGCATTCTTAAAGGTACAGTCAGTATATCCTAAAAATGACTCCTTCAGTGTTTCTTCTGAACCCCCCTCCCCATTACTTCAACAATTCATCTAATTTCTTCGACTAGCAATGGCTACCTTGATATATATTCATTTCTTTGGAGTTCTTGCTCTCTACTCCCAAGTATACTCATTGTTGTTATGTAATACTTTATTATCTCATTGTATATTAAAAACATGTCATGTATTTGTCTCCTAATTATCCATGACTTCAGGTTTATGTTTAAGCCCCTATAGATCTTGTGTTTTTTTCTAGATAGTACTTAGGACAGCATAACAAACAAGCATGCTTTATAATACTAGTAATAATTATGAACCAGGAGAGTTCTTCTCCCTCTTGAGTTTACTGGAAACAGCAGGCATGGCCTTGTTTTGACTCTCCCATTTTTCTCTCTGCTTTCTTACCTTTTTCTTTTTATTTTTTTATTTTTTTTGAGTTGGAGTCTCACTCTGTCGCCCAGACTAGAGTGCAGTAGCCGCTCCCGGCCACCACAGTCTCGATCTGCTGGGCTCCAGCGATCCTTCTGTCTCAGCTTTCCAAGTAGCTGGAACTACAGGCGTGCGCTACCACACCTGGCTAATTTTTTGATTTATTGTAGAGATGAGGTCTCACCAAGTTGCCCAGGCGGGTCTCGAACCCGCGGGCTCAGGCAATCCACTCACCTCAGCCTCCCAAGGCGTGGGATTACAGGCTGAGCCACTGAGCCCGGCTTCTTACCTTTTTCTTAACCAGGTCCCACATCCTGATGGAAAACCTGACAACCTTGGCCTGTTGGTATTGGATGAACCTTCTGCAAAGCAGTCGGACCCTACAGTGCTCTCACTCTGGTTAACAGAGAATTCCAAGCAGCACAATGTCACGGTAAGATATAAGCCTAGTATAGGCCCCAGTTGGAGAAGGCCAGGAGCAGAGACTTGATTGGCATTTGTACAGTTGACCTAATGCCTATTAAGAGGGATGACAAACTGGGTGCGGTGGCGCACTCCTGTAATCCCAGCACTTTAGGAAGCCAGGGTGGGAGGACTCCCTGAGCCTAGAGGTTAGAGACCAGCCTGGGCAACTTGGCAAGACCTAGTCTCTACAATAAATAAAAAAATTAGCCAGGCATGGTGGCATGCACTTGTGGTTCCAGCTACTCAGGAAGCTGAGGCAGAAGGAGTGCCTGAGCCAAGCAGGTCGAGGACCATGAGCATGCCACTGCCCTCTAGCCTGGGCAACAGAATGAGACACTGACTCAAAAAAAAAAAAAGAGATGGCTATGGCTTTGGGCCAACCTAGTTTTTCTTTTCTTTTTTTTTTTTTGAGTTGGAGTCTCACTCTGTCACCCAGACTGGAGTGCAGTGGCACACCCCTGGCCACTGCAGCCTCAACCTGCTGGGCTCTGATGATCCTTCCACCTCAGCCTTCTAAGTAGTTGGAACTACAGGCGTGTACTACCATGCCCAGCTAATTTTTTATTTATTGTAGAGACGAGGTCTCGCCAAGTTGCCCAGATGAGTCTTGAACCCACGGGCTCAGGCAATCCACTCGCCTCTGCCTCCCAAAGTGCTGGTATTATAGGCTGAGCCACCGAACCTGGCCAACCTAATTTTCTTAACGACAGTTTTATTGAGATGATTTACATACCATTAAATTTGCCCTTTTAAATTGTACAAGTCACTGGTTTTTAGAGTGTTCACAAAATTGTGCAACCATCACCTCTACCTAATTTAGAATATTTTCATCAACTGAAAAAGAAACCCATACCCATTGGTAGTCATTCCTTATTATCCCATCTCTTCCTAGACCCTGGCAACCACTTCATTCCTTTTTTATGCCTGAATAATATTCCATTGTATGGATATACCACATTTTGTTTATTCACTTACCGGATATTTCCATTTTTACCAATAATGATGCTTTGGACATTTGTGTACAAGTTTTTATGTGCACATGCATTGTTATTTCTCTTGGATAATATGTAGGAATTGAATGGCCAAGCCATATGATAACTCAGTGTTTAACCATTTGAGGAACTGCCAAACTGTTTCCCAAGTGGCTACACCATTTTACAATCTCACAAACAATGAATGAAAGTTCCGGTTTCTCCACATTCTCACCAACACTTTGTTGTTGATGCTAGCCATCCTAGTGTATAAAAATGGTATTTCATTGTGGTCATTCCTGCCCTGTTGACCTGTACCCACCTCGTGGCTCCAGCAAATTCTATCAGGGTTTCCTATCCCCTTTATTTTATTTTATTTTATTTTTTAAGTTGGAGTCTCACTCTGTCACCCAGACTGGAGTGCAGTGGCCACTCCTGGCCACCACAGCCT